TGGACAATTGTTGAAGATTCATTAACAATGACATCAAAAATGCTGCACACTGACTTCCCAGACAGGGAATGAGAGCTTCATTGCAAGTGACTTGGTAAGTATATTGAGGGAAACTTTGTGGCTATTCTCAAAATGTTGGTGTAAGTCCTGGTGCCTGAGAGACTTCTACTAGTAAAGAATATCCTTTGAAATAACTGTTCCTTCTGTATTAAGTCATGTGATTGTTTAATGTTCCGTGAATGCTTAGAAGAACTATTTGCATCTTTGATTAGGTGATAAATGTTTGTCAATGAGATCAGTGATCTGCTCCTCACTTAAAATCTTCCAGATTTTGTTCTTGTATGTCATGATCCAGTTCAGACTGAAAATATTCATGCACAATTGAAAACGTTAAAATATTTGGTTCAAGTTAGGCCTATTAAGTGGTATTGGCGGTGTTTTAGTCAAAACACATTTTAGAAAGTGAAAACATCAACTATAAAATGTAGGGAAGCACAACCAAAGGTAACTTGTAATTAAGTGCAAGTATTTAATTACTCAAGTGGTCTAATTAGATTCTCATGGTTTGAAATAACAATTATCTCCTAATAATTTTACACACAGAGAGAAACTAATACATTTCTATCTTCCAACCCAGCTGTTTTGAAATATCAAATTGAGAGGTTTTATGTGATCAAAGCTGTATGGTTCTATTTTCTATGCACAGTCCACCCAAGAGACCAAGCTTTCAATTTCAAAACCATAAGAAAATCTGTGTTCTGTTTTTGGTTTAGGGAGTTTTATTTGTTTGTTTTGGTTTTTGTTTTTAATTTAAAAATGTGCCTATAAGGACAAATTATTTAAATACTAATAAATAGCTGCAATTAGGTTAGAGAAAACAGTACATCTGCCATTCTCATAGGTATGGTTTTCACAGTTAGACTAAGAGGGACATTATTTACATACAAATAAGGGCCTTTTCCCAACAGTACATTCTTTATCCTCATAAAAGTAATTTCTCTTTGAAAACAGCCCATGACTCTATATAGAAGATGAAACCTGAGAGAAATCTAACTGTTTATTGGCCCACATCACATTGTATCTGAGTGCCTCAGAAATGTTAATTTATTTTTCCTTATGATGCCCTTTTGGGGGCAAGGGGATGGGTAAAAATGTTATAATTTAGCTGATTAGAAACGGAATTGGAGAGAGACTAAGTAACTTGTCCAAAGTCATATAGGAAATCCTGGGGCAGAACCAGGAATTGAAGCTACGTCTCCCAAGACCTGAGCCTTAACCATAAGAATATCTTTCACTCATAGCCAGTACTATCTCTGCCTTCCTCCCTGTCGACAAAATAATTCACCAAATGTGTTGAGAAGGAAACTGAAATAGTGCATTATGTTGAAACTGATCTTTTATTGCAAATATACAATACAAACGTTGTTCTCTTTAACTTAAAGATGGGCAATGGCAGAAGGTTATGGTGCTTGTTTAATAAATAAACCAGAGCTGGTTCAAGATATGGTGAGACACGTAAGAAATCAAGTAGAGAACCCCAGATTTTCAGTATCTATTAAGATAAGGTAAGTTTAGACCACTACTATGTCTCAGGACAATGAAGCATGTTTATTATTTAATCAAGCAAAACAGGAAATGTGTTGGGTTAATATTACCTTTATGGAAAAAGTGCTGTAAGCATGGTCTGTGGAGACTCGCACTCAGCTTTTTAGTAGGTCAACCCTGAGATCTTTAACAACCCCAGCTGGTCAGGATCTGTTTTCTTTCTCATCCAAAACACATCTGGGGACATGTAATCCTACAAAATTGCAATCAGTGTTTCTCTGGTGCTACACATCGTCAAGTGTGCTTTGGTTTGCAAGAACACACTGATATCCAAAACAACATAAAAGGCATGCATTTTTTAAAAACTCAGAATTCAGGAGAAGTAAAATGATCACAAGCTAGTTGAATAGTTTTGTATTGTTTATTCAACCATATCACCTAGTGCTTTGAACCAACCTAAGGAAGCTTGGGTCAAGTTACCACTTGGATGGGAGCTCTCAAAGGAAAATAGGGGAGACAAGAAATGATGTTGGTAAGTTAGTGATATTCTTCCTCCTATCAGTTTAGAACTAGATCTGGTATGGTATTAATGGCATTGTCCAGCTGGAGAAGCTGTCTTTTAGATGAGGCATTAAAATAGATCCTGACAAATCATGATTGCTTAAAGATTTGATTACATTCCTTATCAAATTTCAACTTGAGTCATTCTGCCTACCTAAATTCCCACTCCAGTTTCAGTTGGAAAAAGATATCCTTCACTTCATTGACTTCTAAAATATTGTGATGTGTTGCCATGTTGCATTTCAGTGGTGGAGGCAATGACTCCTGTGTAGGTTTTGTATATCAGCAAAGTTTATGTAATAAAGATCTAAAATTGATTGAGATTTTTCAGAAAGAAAGGTACTATATAAATGTGAGTTATTTCATTATTGGTACAGAATTACGCAAAATTATATATTTTTAAAAGGCTTATGGGTTTCTGGCAATTGTTATAAAGTTTGGACACCCTTTCAATTTTAGTGACAAGATTAAACAGGATAATACTAAATCAAGGGATATTAATTTATTAAAATAATGTGTTATATGATAAAAGATCAGTTCATCTTCCAACAATAATGTTCTTTTTTCATTAATACAATTTTTGTTTATTCTGCCTTATGGTGGGATTTCATGCAGTTCAGATAACTGTTTGATGGTGAGGATAATTATTACATTCCTTGGAATTTTAGAATCCATGATGATCTAAAGAGAACTGTAGATCTCTGTCGAAAAGCTGAAGCAACTGGAGTTTCCTGGATTACAGTTCATGGGAGAAATGTAGAAGAACGACATCAGCCAGTACACTATGATGCAATTAAAATAATTAAACAAAATCTGTCTATACCTATTGTAGCTAATGGAGACGTTAAAACTTTAAAAGATGCCGAGAATATTCATCATATGACGGGGACAGATGGTAAGAACTCAGCATACTTTGGGTATTATTTCAGTAAATTTGCTAGGAAATGGACTTTTTAAAATACACATTTGTCTGTAAGTTGAACTTATATTTGAGTGTTTTGCACTCTTCAAGGAGAGAACTGAGATATGAAGTTAGTTGGTTCTGACAGCTTAAGGATTTATGAGCAGACACACTTAAAAGCTGTTACCAGCACAAAATTCTCTGTTACTCTCAGACATTAGGGGCACCCACCTTTACCCTTCTGTGGGCTCAAGATGTAACCCTCTTAATTTGGGCACCCACCCTTGTCCCATTCCTAGGGCTCAGGCGTAACCTTACACTCTAGGGCACTCACCCTTACCCTGTTCCTAAGGCTCAGGTGTAACCCAGTTAATTTAGGCCCACCACCCTTTCCCAGTTCCTAGGGCTCTAGGCAAAAGGCATCTAACTTTACTCCTCCTTGGGCTCCAGGCTCTATGTCTCCAGGCTTTCCTCCTCCTCCTCCACGTAAACACCCATTCCCTGTGGACTCAGAGCAAACACCCATTTCCTGTTGACTCAGGGCTTAATTTTTTGCGGGTTTACAGGGTCTTTTACCAGCAAAAGCGCATTATACAGTAATAGCCTACTTAACCTCTATTTATTAACAATCACCAAAACAGAATGCACATGCTACACATACAGTGCTTACCACTCCCATTAAGAGAGAGGAACTTTTCTTGATGGCCAGTCAAGCTCAGGTCATCTGGGGGACTCCAGTTTCTGCACGGTGTCATTGGCAGATGTTGAGGTCTGTCAGCTGTGATCTTGGGGCTGTGTCCTGGAGTTGGTTCCCAAAAAACTTCCTTTTGGACCACAGTTTATATAGTAAAACTTGAGTCCTGCTTAGCTGTACCTTAACTAATTATTTTACTAAAATATTACTAACCAATCCTAACATTGTTAAACAGTTATTTAACCAATCATACTCTGCCACCTTAATTAATTTACACCTAGCAAAATTAATTATGCAACAGACAAACAATCAAAGAACCAGACAGAGATCCTACAGATAAACAATAGAGAAGTGGGGACCATAAAGACAAAACAATAAAGAAATGAGGATTTCACAACCACAACTATCGATAAGTGGTTTCTTGCCAGACAGAATGCCATCAAACTAAGGTGGGTTTTTTTAACCATCCTAAGATCTGTTTCTTTATCTGGTGATAGTGGGTGCTATTAGGACAGGATCTCCTTAGCCAAATATTACATTGTTTTCATATAATTTAGATGGAATGTGAGGATGTGACTTCCTGCTTCTTAGCTAATGGCTGCTGCTCTCCTAATATGGCTGCAGACAAAGGCTTTACAATATGGCTACCGGAAAAGGCCTTATCCTTACAAAGCTTTAGAGTACTACTATGCATAACTATGAATAAGTACCTCCAAGGCAAATTGAAAAAGCCCTTTATTTAAATACTGTATCCCACCCCTACACACAGAGAACCCTCAGACACTCATCATCCTAATATGAATGATTAATGACATTATTCGAGAGTTCTTTTTGACATATAACAGTTCCTTCTGTTCCTACAAGGCAGTGGTGGGCAACCTGCAGCCCATCAGGTTAATCTGCTGGCGAGCTGCAAGACAGTTTGTTTACATTGACCATCTGCAGGCATGGCTGCCCGCAGCTCCCAGTGGCCGCGGTTCGCCGTTCCCAGCCAGTGGGAGCTGTGCGAAGCGGTGGCCAGCCTGCGCCGCTTCCCGCAGCTCCCATTGGCCAGGAACGGCGAACCGTGGCCACTGGGAGCTGCAGGCAGCAAGTCAATGTAAACAAACTGTCTCATGGCCTGCCAGCAGGTTACCCTGATGGGCCGCAGGTTGCCCACCACTGCTACAAGGGGTGCCTCAGTGGCAGCCATTTTGGCTCTTGCATGTGGGAGATGGATCTGTGACTGTGGCAAGTGAAGGGAGGAAGGAGGAGTACTGTCCAGCCAGATACTTGACAAAATTCAGGACAGTCAGTTTCAGCTTTATTGTTTCCTTGTACTCCCCAGTCAGTCTGTCTGTGTCATAGAAATGTAGGGCTAGAAGGGACCTCAAGAAGTCATCAAGTCCAGCCGCTAGCCCCGAGGCAGGACCAAGTAAACATAGACCATCCCTGATTGGTGTTTGTCCCACCTATTCTTATAGACCTCCAATGATGGGGATTCTACAACCTCCCTTTGAAGCTTATTCCTGTGCTTAACTGCCTTTATAGTTAGAAAGTTTTACCTAAATCTCCATTACTGCAGATTAAGCCCATTACTACTTCTTCTGTGGATACAGAAAACAATTGATCCCTGTCCTCTTTATAACAGCCCTTAACAAATTTGCCGTCTTCCAGGTTCTCCCCTCAGTCTGCATTTCTCAAGACTAAACGTGCCCAGTTTTTTTCTCCTTTCCTCATAGGCCAGGTTTACTAAACCTTGTATCATTTTTGTTGTTCTCTCAATTATTCAGTTTGTCCACAGCTTTCCTAAAGTGTGGTGCCCAGAACTGGACGCACTATTTCAGCCGAGGCCTCACCAGCTAGTGCAAGTGTTCTTTAAGTCATTTGAGTTACACAAGGGATGAATTTGTTTCCTCGCTATGGGTCAATCAGTAGTAAATTTTGCTAAAAAAAACAGGATCATCCTATGTTTAGCTAATAAAAACAAAATATTACTGGAGGAACTGGGAAAGAACTGAGAAAGAAAAGTTCCCATTCTGTATATGCTGTGTTTTCTTTCAAATCCTCTATCATGAAGTGCTATTAAGCTGGGTAGGCTGGACCTCTAAATATCACAGGTAATCTTGGATTTGGACTGTTAAACAGAGTTTCCCAGGGTGCAATTGCCATATTGGCTTTCCAGCTTCTACTGCTCTCTAGTTAGCTCTTCACAAGTATTAGATACTGTGGTGATGGGTGCTATACAAAACTCAGGTAAACATAAAAAAGTTAAAAGTTAAATTGCATATTAACACTTCTCAAATTTTCCATTTGAAGGTGTAATGGTTGCTAGGGGGCTCTTAGCCAATCCAGCCATGTTTGCAGGATATGAAGAGACACCTCTGAAGTGCATCCAGGATTGGGTTGACATTGCTCTTGAACATGGGACTCCTTTTACGTGCTTTCATCATCATTTAATGTACATGATGGAACGGATAACTTCAAAACAGGAAAAAAGGGTTTTTAATGTTTTATCAAGCACCTCAGCGGTTCTGGACTACCTTAATGACCACTACGGGGTGTAATAGCTTTTAAAGTATTTTAATCATGTGAATATTGCATTTTATATTTTAGAGTTGTGGGTACTTTGTGATAGTGATAGGTTTCCCCACGCTTATATTTATTAGTCAAAATCACAGTGCATTGGAAGATCTCATGCAGTGTAACATTACTGGACATTTCTGAACTGATCATATTATATTTTTATATTAACATTATTTTCAACTCAGGAAACATTCATGACTTGAAAATAGCTTTTATATATATGGCAACGCATTACCATACACAGAATTGTGATGCTGTAAGCAGAGTGTCTTATGAGCAAATAAATTATATATGCAGTACCCAAGTGCTTTCAAAGATCACTCCCAATGCTGCTACCCTTACTCATGTGAGTAGAAGGGCCACAGGAACAGGCTCAAAGGGTATTAAACAGAATTATATAGAATTGTTCCTTTAATTGAGAAAAGCTCAACTGAGAAGGCCAGCTAGTATTTATCTAAAGTGAAGATTCAGTTTTTATGTTTGGTTTTAATTATGTGGGCCCCTAAATCACAGAAGAGAAAGGCTTCACACAACTGCCCCTCTTTAGAGTCAGGTGTCCCATTTGCTGCTCTGAAGGCCTGAAATCCCTTAAACTGGCATTGAACTTAGAGTTCCAGATTTTCCTAGCCAAGTGGAAGAAAATTAATATATTAATACAATAATATAATTAATATAATAAACCTCCATTAATTTTCAAGTGGAAGATATGTCTATTTAATGTTAAGTGATACTATAAGTCCAGAATGAAATTGTTTTGGTAACTCAGGTCTCAGATCGGACCTTGAATCAGTGCTTGAAATTAAGCATGTGCTTGTTTTGTCCCCTTCACTTCAAAATAGCACTTCACTTCTCTGCTTCAAGTTATACATGTGTTTAGGTACCTTGCAGACTTGGGGCACAAAATTTAAAAAGATTTGTTCAACATGCACTATGTACAGTATATGTTCCTAAGATCAAGTGGGTAAGGTGATATCTTTTATTGGACCAACTTCTCTTGGTGAGAGGTAAGATTTTGAGCTTACACAGAGCTCTTCTTCAAGACTGGGAAAGGCACTCAGGCCAGGTCTACTCTACAGACCTATCTCAATATAACTACATTGCTCACATGTGAAAAATCCACATCCCTGAGCAACATAGTTATATCAACCTAACCCGCTGTGTAGACTGCGCTATGTCAGCAGGAGTGTTTCTCCCATTGACATAGCTACCACCTCTCAAGGAGATGGATTAACTACGAAACTCTCCCATTGACTTAGGAGTGTCTTCACCAAGACCAACTTCTCAGAGTGTTACAGCTAAATACAAAGTGGAACAGCTAAGGAGTTAACACACCTTGCAAGAGACCATTCAAGATGAAGTGGGTAGATATCACCTCTACAGTAATAGGATAAAAGAGGTGTTAGTAGGTTGCAGATTTTTGTAATGAGCCATAGATCCAGTGTCTTTCTTAAGTACAGTAACTCCTCACTTAAAGTCATCCCGGTTAACATTATTTCCTTGTTACGTTGCTGATCAATTAGAGATCATTCTCGTTTAAAGTTGCACAATGCTCCCTTATAACATTGTTTGGCTGCTGCCTGCTTTGTCCACTGCTTGCAGAAAGAGCAGCCCATTGGAACTAGCTGGTGGGGGCTTGGAACCAGGGTGGACCAGCAGCCCTCCCTATCAGCTCCCCATTCCCCTAAGTTCCTGTGCGGCAGCCGCCCAGCAGGCTATCAATTGCTGGCGGTTCAGCTGTCCCTTCCCCCACTCGCCATGTGCTTGCTCCTGCCCTCTCGCCTTGGACGCTGCTCCCGGGAGCTTCCTGCTTGCTGTGTTGGGGCAGGGGGGGGGGAAGGGGGCTAATGTCAGGGTGTCCCCCTGCTCCTGCCCCCCCACTTACCCCATCTCCATAGAGCAGGGGGTGACACAACAGGGCTCAGGACAGAGGGAGCTTGCTCCCAGCAGCTGCTGTCTCAACTTGCTGATCTACTTAAAAAGGCAATGTACTTAAAGTGGGGTCAGCATACTTAAAGGGGCAATGCGCATCTCTCTCTCACACACAGGGTGTGTCTCTCTGTCTCTGTCTGCCATGCTGTCTCCACTCCCTCCATTTCTGCTGCCTTGTAGAGTGTGAGGCTACATTAACACAATGTGTTAACCCTTGAGGGCTCAGCGGAGTACTAGTTCATCATTTAGCAGTAAGGCATTCCCTGGGAAATATCCCACCCTCTGACTTCACCACCTCAACCAAGCTTCACAATCGTCATTGCTGTGTACAGTATTAAATTGTTTGTTTAAAACTTATACTGTGTGTGTATGTATGTGTGTATTTATATATTAGTCTTTTGTCTGGTGAAAAAAATTTCCCTGGAACCTAACCCCCCCCCCCCATTTACATTTAATTCTTATGGGTAAATTGGATTTACTTAATGGCATTTAGCTTAAAGTCGCATTTTTCAGGAACGTAACTACAACGTTAAGCGAGGAGTTACTGTACATGATTTTTGGTGTCTAGCAGTTATGAATTTAAGTTCCCAAGCTTGTCTTTTGAAAGTGTTGTGCAGGTTTCCTTTGAGGATGAGGACAGAGAAGTCAGTTACGGAGTGATTATTTTGTGAAAAGTGTTCACCCACCCCAAACACATCACCAAACTCAACCATTTAATCCTCATCCATAACAATTTTACATTCAACAACAAATAATTTACCCAAACCATGGGAACAGCCATGAGTACTGGGATGGCTCCCCAATACATCAACCTTTTCAGGACTACCTTAAGGAAGAATTTCTGGACAAATGCACTACAAAATCAATGATATACCTGAGATATATTGATAATATATTCATTTGCTGGACAGATGACCAGAAGAACTCTGTGTAAGCTCAAAAGCTTGTCTCTTTCACCAACAGAAGTTGGTCCAATATATTATTTCATACACCTTGTTTCGCTAATATCCTGGGACCAACAAGGCTACAACAACACTCCTAATAATATATGTTCCTGTATAGTGTATAATAATGACATGACAGAATGTAACCGGGTATAGCAGGGCCCCCTTTGCTCCTGCCTCTGCTCTGCTCCAAAAACCATTCAGAGACCTTGTGGCTTAGCAATCACCGGTGCAGTTTATTTACAGCATGCAATCGCACCACACACAGCTTGGGGGTTTCAGCCTTAAGGACTCAATTTCTACAACCAAGCCACTCCTACTCTCCTTCCACTCTCTGACTTCCCCCTTTCCGTCTGTCCCCTTGGCTTCTTTCCTCTGAGGTGTTTATGCAGCCCCAGGCTAGTTAGGCTGGCAGCTGTTTCCCCTTTGCCAATTAGGCACAGGTTTCTCTAGCCAGCTCCAATCTACCTCCTGTAATTGGAGCTGGCGTGACAGAGGACTAGCTCAGCAGTTCATACCCAGCACCCTGTCACATAGAAATAGGATAAAATCAGTGCGAGTAAGAAGCAGTCTTTCTTCTGAATTACACCAAAAAAACAAAAAATTTAAACCTGGTTCTCTCAGCCAGGTTTTAACAATCTTGTCTTTTGTTCACCCAAGCATGATTGTCCTTACGCACTGTTTTTTTCATAAGCAAAAGGTAGTGAAAATTAGAACAAGGTAGTAACATTCTGCACCTGGTACAAATTTGAGTCCAATGTAATGAAGATTTTGAACAAAAATCACGTTTCATATGGCATATGTTTATACAGAAATTCATGCCAGTAATTGGTAAATTATAATGAATTAGGAGTTTGTTGACTTTCATACCTCTGGAAGTATCAATATAATTACTGGTAAATATAAAAATATTTTCTAATTGTCTGAATCATATATGTAATAATTTTGTAAGTGATTGGACCTGATTGGGGTGGTGTTCTGGTTCCCCCAACCCCGAGTTTTATTTTGGAATAAATGTTTGTAATGTGAGACACTTAAAATATGGTAGCAGAAAAGAGAGTCATTCTTTAGTTTTAATAAAGTATGTGCCACTGCTGAGACATTACAATAGCATTATGTAGGTTTATTTATTGAAATAAAGACAGTTTACAATTTTGAGTTTTTCTGTCAGTAGCATTCAACATTTATATTGTCAGCAAAAGAGACAAATCTGAGGATGATTTAACAAGAAGTCAATTGTTGAAGTCCTGCAATACTTGAGAGAATGAGATCTGTTCCATTTAAGAGGTGCTCCCACGTGCTCCAGAATGGTTGTCTTTGGGTTTTTGTTTACTTGTTTTGCTCACTCTACACATTTGTCATATGTTAAAAATAAACTTAGGGTAACAGTCTGCTGGTGAGATCTGCTAAATGGATCCAAAGCTGATCTGCCTTCCATACATATCAAGTGACATCAGTGAAAGATCTATAAATAATGAAGAGGAAAATCTCAGAATTTAGATTAACTGAAAAAAACTTTTGGATGGTGTGGCAAGTCCCCCCGGGATGCAACCTGGAACTTGGGTACCACAGCCCTCTGACTCACCAGCCTGGGTTCCCTCTCACACTGTGCTGCTGTGACAAGCTGTACACAGCTCCTGGTCCTACACTCCCACCAGCATTCACATGGGCAGGGACACACCCAACTGCAATAACATGCAGGCTCTGGCTAACCAGTGCATGAACCAACAATAGAGAGGCTACAGCCAAAGTACCCCCAGCTCATTGTAGGTGTTTACAACTTAACATATTTCAGTAACACATTGTGACATTCTGTACCTGGGGGGAACACCCAGCACCCCCATGTTCATCCTTGTAAAATGATTGTGTGGTATCCCATGCAAAGTTTGTCATGTCGGGTGTCTTCGGAAGACTCATGATGCACTGATAGTAATCGTTATAGTGATGTTATAGGTTATAATTTCATATATGTTGTTATGAGGCTGAAAATGTATCCTCGTGGCTTAAAATAACCCCAGGCAAAAACTGTCCAAGAGCAGAGAGGCAGTTCACACGTCATCAGCCCAGCCTCACAGGAACAAAGGACGCTGGCCTAGCCAGCAACAAAAGACTCTGTTAGGCCTTGGCTACACTTGCGAGTTACAGCGCTGTAAAGCCTCCCCCAGCGCTGTAACTCACTCCCTGTCTACACTGGCAAGGCACTTACGGCACTGTATCTCCGTGGCTGCAGCACTGCATGTACTCCACTTCTCTGAGAGGAATACCATGTATTGCGCCGCCGCTGCAGTGCTGCGGCGCCAGTGTGGCCACCCAATTCGTTGTGACTGGCCTCCAGAAGTATTTGGCAGTATCCCACAATGCCTGTTCTAGACACTCTGGTCATCAGTTCAAACTCTACTGCCCTGCCCTCAGGTAACCAATCATGTGACCCTCCCTTAAAATTCCCTGGGAATTTTAAAAATCCCCTTCCTGTTTGCTCAGCCAGGCATGGCGTGGAGTGCTATCAGCAAATCTTTCCAGGTGACCATGCCTCCATGCGCCAAGCGAGCCCCAGCATGGAGCAATGGCGAGTTGCTGGACCTCATCAGTTTTTGGGGTGAGGAAGCTGTCCAGTCCCAGCTGCGCCCCAGCCGTAGGAATTACGATACCTGCAGGAAGGTATCAAAGGACATGATGGAAAGGGGCCATGACCAGGACGCTCTGCAGTGCAGGATTAAAGTGAAGGAGCTGCGGAGTGCCTACCGCAAAGCCCGCGACGCAAATGGCCGCTCGGGTGCTCCCCCCGCGACCTGCCGATTCTACAAAGAGCTAGATGCGATACTTGAGGTTAACCCCACCTCCACTCCGAGCACCACCATGGACACTTCAGAGCCGGGGTGGGAGGAGGAGGAAAATGGGAGTGAGGGTGGTGGGGCGGATGGAGGCACCCCAGAATCCCTGGAGGCATGCAGCCAGGAGCTCTTCTCGAGCCAGGAGGAAGGTAGCCAGTCGTAGTGGCCGGTACTTGGTGGAGGACAAACAGAAGAGCAGGTTCCCAGTAAGTGGGGTTTTTTTCGGGAAGGAATTTTTTTGGTGCGGGCTCTTTGGGAGAGGAGGGTTAGGCATGCATGCCTACGTGCGGAATAGTGCATTCATGTGGTTTATCACATCACGGTAATCGGCCTCGGTAATCTCTTTGAATGTCTCATCCAGAACGTGTGCAATGCGCTTGCGCAGGTTTATCGGGAGAGCCACCGTGGTCCTTGTCCCAGCCAGGCTAACGTGTCCGCGCCACTGTGCCGCGAGGGGCGGGGGGACCATTGCTGCACACAGGCAAGCTGCATATGGGCTAGGGCAGAAGCCGCATTGTAGTAGAAGACCCTCCCTTGCTTCCCAGGTCACCCTCAGCAGCAAGATATCGTCCAGGACAAACTCCTGTGGAAAATGTTGGGACAGTGTTCAGTGTAGGTGCCCCTTGCAGCTGTTGGCTCTCCCCAAGGCACAGAAACCCCGAGGACAGTACAGCCCTGAAACAATCAGTCCCCCTTACTCACCACTTTGAGGCTCCTGTGGGTTATGTGTGCTCTGTTTGGGACGGGAAAATTGAGATCCCTTCCCTTTATAACTCACTTATCCTCTGCCATTCCCAAGTCAAGGGTCGTATATACTGACCCAATAGCATATCTTGAAAACTAGAGCCAATCAACAATTTTAAGCATCATTTTCATTCTCAGTGACCCAGAATTAGTAAAGTTTGACTACATTTATTTCAGAAGCATTTTGGCTGTAGAGCAGTGTAATGCACCACTCCCAATGGCACTGCAATTGCCGCAAATGTGGCCACGACAGTGCGCTGGCAGCTGTCAATGTGGACAGACTGCAGCGCTTTCCCTACTCAGCTGTACGAAGACAGGTTTAACTCACAGCGCTGTACAGCTGCAAGTGTAGCAAAGACCTCAGACTCTCAAGGGAGTCACCCTCCTTCCTTTGGTCAGTATGGAACTGCAATGAGGTAATGCTCACCTGACTCTGAATGAGGGGGGGTGGGGACAAAGCCAAGAAGGAAGAAAGGACATGATAAAAGGGAGAGACATTTGCCATGCTCTTCCTCTCTCTTCCATCTACATCTACAGATACCACACCAAGCGACTGAAGCGCTGATCAAAGGGGAAAGCCTGGCTAAAGAGCAACCAGCCTGTGGTGAGAAGTGTCTAAGTTTGTAAGGGCACTGAAAGTGTTAATATTAGCTTAGAATGTGTTTTGTTTTTATTTCATTTGACCAAATCTGACTTGTTATGTTTTGATTTATAATCACTTAAAATCTATCTTTATAGTTAATAAATCTGTTTGTTTATTCTACCTGAAGCAGTGCATTTGATTTGAAGCATGTCAGAGACTCCCCTTGGTATAACAAGCCTGGTACATATCAATTTATTTGTTAAATTGACGAACTCATATAAGCTTGCAGTGTCCAGCGGGCATAACTGGCCACTGCAAGACAGAGGTTCCTAGGGTCTGAGACCGGAGAGCTCAGATGTGAAAAACCCAGGAGTGGGGGTTCTCACAGCAGAGCAGGGTAAGGCTGGCTCCCAGAGTCAAGGATTGGAGTGACCTAGCAGATCACCAGTCCAGATAACTCCAGAGGGGATCGTCACACATACATAGCAAAACTTCATAACTTCACAGACAACGATAGCACATACAAACCAATGAGATATTAATGTTTAGTAGATCAAGACATTTAGAATGATACCTCACAAGGCATACTTTGTACAAAATATATAATTATATGACTGGTGAATATGGGGTACTAGGGTGTCACAGATGGATCCTGTTTTCCATTGAAATAAATGGTAAAACTATTGAGTTCAATAGAATCAGGATTCTTTATAGTGTTACTGTTTATACCCTTCTTGGAAGTTTCACTAATCAAATTTTGTACTCAACCGCCCACTACTTATCTTTAATTGCTGAGTTCTGTAACTCTTTGTTTTATGTACTCATCATGAGCAGGCCTGCTGAGTTCAGAGAGTCAAGAAGGGAGGATTATTAGCTGTGATAACTTAACATAATTAATTAGGCTTCTTTTAACATTGGGAGACTGTTCATTTAATCCATGGTAGACCATAAATCAGGGGTGGGCAAACTACGGCCTGCTTCCGAGAGCTGCTTGAGGTAAGCACACACCAGAGCCTGCACCCCTGACCTCCTTCTCTGCCCCAACCCCATGCCCCAGCCCTGATCCCCCTCCCACCCTCCGAACCCCTCAGGCCCAGCCCAGAACACCCTTCTGTACCCCAAATCTCTCATTCCCAGCCCCACCCCAGAGCCTGCACCCCCAGCCAGAGCCCTCACCCTCCCACACACTCCAACCTCTGCCCAAGAGCAGAGCCCCCTTCCACACTCAGCCCCAGCCCAGAGCCCCCTCCCCCGCATCCCAACCCCCTGTCCAATCCCTGATCCCCCTACCACCTTCCGAGCTCCTCAGGCCCAGCCCGGAGCACCCTCCTGCACCCCAAACCCCTCATCCTCAGCCCCACCCCAGAGCCCGCACCCCAGGGGTGAAAGTAAGTTAAAGGACTTACTGGTACGCCTGAGCCCCGGGGTAGCAGCAGCAGGGCTCAAGCCAGGGCCGGTGCTACCATTAAGGCAAACTAGGCGGTTGCCTAGGGCGCCAAGATTTGTGGGCGCCAAAAGTGGTGCCCCCAATTTTTTTTTACAGCGTTCCTGGGCTGGGCTGCCAGCGGGGCACTGACACATGCAGCTCAGACTCCCTCTCCCAGCGCAGTGGCACCTCCACTTCTCCTGCCTCCCAGGCTTGCGGCGCCAATCAGCTCTTTGGCACCGCAAGCCTGGGAGAGGAGGAGAATTAGAGCGGGGGCGGCGTGTTCAGGGAGGAGGCAGAGCAGAGGTGAGCTGGGGTGGGGAGCTGCCACGGGGGGCGCCTCAGGACGGGGGGAAGCTGCCATGGGGGGGCGCCTCAGGGCGGAGGGGGGGCAGGGAGCTGCTGCAGGGCTGGGGGGGGCCCAAGGCACCGGCCCTGGCTCAAGTGGTGCTTTGA